GACAGCTTTTGCCCCCAAGCCCCCTGCCTCCCAGGCGGGAAGCGTCCGGGCCGGGACTGATCCAGGCAGGGCGCCTCAAGGGCCTATGAGCTCTGTAAACCGCCTCGGCGTAAAAGCCAAGCCTCTGCTCTGCTTGGGGAGGGTTTGGATTTGGCTCCAGATGCGGGTTTCCAGGGAAGGCGCACCCGGCCCGGGCTCCGGGCAGGAGCACTGCCCTCCGGAGGGAAGCTGGCGCCGCGGGCCCACTGCACCAACACCCCCAAGCAGCCTCCCTGCCGCAGTCCGGGGCCCCGTGCATCCTCGCCACTTATGAGCGAGCACACACAGGTGCTCCCGGCCCGATCCTTCCCATCGGCTGCCCCCGGGACCGCAGCTTTTCAACGATTCACGGCCCATCCAGGGGGGCGGAAGGCGACACGCAGGGAGTGGGGCGTCTCGCCGGTCCTAGGGCAGCACAGTTCGCGGCCGACGTTACCAGGGCTTGTCTTCTTCGGGTTCTGACACCGTACGCAGTGGGATGTGCGCTCGCAGGGCGGCGGCGGCGGCCGCGCCGAGCCCAGGGCGCACTGGGCATCCTGGCGCCGAGTTTCAGCCCGCAGTCGCGCTCCGTGTGCCGCCCGCTGCGCTCTGCAGATGGACGGATGCGGGGCGCAGGCGTTGCCTGGCTTGGGCTAGAGCCCCAAAGCCCACACTTTGGCACCCTCTCTTCCTCAGCTTTTCCCCAAGGCGGGGGGCGAGGGGACGCCTCCTAATCCCTCCTCCCCGTCCCGGCTCGGCTCGGGGTTTTACTGCAGCAGCCGGAGGGTGACAGCGACGCCTTAGCCTCCTCTATGGCTCAGGGAGCCCCTACTTCGTCAGCATCCGGAATGCGTCCCCTCGAGAGAGAGGCTGGTCCCCGAAGAAGCGCTAACAGGCTGCCTGAACCCAGACTGACAATGTTGGAGTCGCTGGGGGGCATTCAGTCCAGGAGGAACCTGATCTCCCAGGACTGAGAGTGGCAGCGCCTGGGAAGTTGGGACCATAGAGCTGGGGGGAGGGGAGTGGTGCTGCCGGCCTGCTCTTCTGGAAGGAGGCGCTGGGAGCAGCGCGTTTGTACCCAAGTTTGCGTGGGAGTGTTTTCCTGTTGTCAATAATTAATCACTGGAATCAGTCTGGCCGAATTGGAGTTTTAGCAACAGTGTTGAGGGCGGGGCCGAACACCTAACTCCAGGAGGCGGCTAGGAGCGGGCACAGAGGGAAGCTCGCAGCAGCCGCTGGGTAGGAGCCAACCTTTGGTGCTCAAGCCGCAGGGAGATTCACTCAACAGGGAGGTAAGCATCTTCCAAAATATCTATTTAGGCTGTAAAGTAGCTTTGGTAGAATAGAATCTCCATGTTTGTAGATGGAGGTAGAGGGGATTAACACTGTACTATAACACAATTCTTCTGTGCCATAATACAATTCTGAAGTTTGTTTAATGACATTACATTTAAAAATTGAGTGGGGTTTTCCATTTGTCTTTTACTATGTTGGAAACTAAGATGCTGCACTCAAAAGAAGCCAAACTTTTCTAATGAAACTTTCCCTGACCAAATAAGAGAAAATCATTTTACTAATTACTTTCATTGTTTATCTTTCTGTAATTCATGAAACATTGTGCAGGACAATGTTATTGGAATATGCATGGTTTCATTCTTAAATATTCATCTTTTATCTGGTATCTTGCTCTTTTACAATACACTGTGCCTATATACTACCTTAGACATGGTACATATACGTTAACTGCCCCAAAAGTGAAGAATTTCCCCCGAAACACATTTTAACATTTTCTCGTGACTATTTAGCAGTATTCCTGTTTTTCTTTTCTTTTTTATAAATCATTTTATTGGGGGCTCTTAAGGCTCTTATCACAAGCCATACATACATCAACTGTATCAAGCACATTTGTACATATGTTGTCATCATCCTTCTCACTGCTATGTGATCATCTGTAAGTGTCCAGACTTCTACTTCAAGGAGAAATACAAAATTAACTTTGCCTGGGGATTAGGAATGAGGTCCAATGGTTAAGGAAGAGCTTTAGATATGAACAAAACGCTAGATCTTTCTGTTAAAATGACATTCAACTAGTTGACAATTCACATATGCACCCAACCATTTAAAATAAGTTCACAGCAATAAAGAATTTAAAGAACCATTTAATGTGAATGTTAGCCCCCAAAGCCCTAATAAATGCATTCAGGAAGTTGGGAAGCTAGTTCTTTTAGAAATATTTTTTTTAGTGCGGTAGTTTTCGTGAATTAAACAGAAAATTTAAATTGCATGGTCATTTTGCATAGGCACTTTTTAGATCTATGAGATTTGGGTGTTTTTTTTTAAATATTGTATTGTAATTAGTTGAAAGTTTACAGAACAGATCATCAGTTTTACGTGTGATAATGCATACACATTTTGTTTCAGTTCATCCATTGCGATTGCTAATGAAGTTTTGATCATTTGATTTCCACACTTGAATGCATAAGTATCTTGTTGTTTTTATAATAGTTATCATTTGGTGTTTGTTTTAATAGCTGTGGATTTTTGTACATTGATTACTAGGCCAACGAAGGCAAAATTTAGTATGAAAGGTAGTCATACTCATTACAAGTTAAGGTTGCTTTGTCAAACCAAGAGGACCCCTACTGGTGTAGCGGTTACTCATTAGACTGCTAACTACAAGGTCCACAGTTTGAAATCACCAACCCCTCCACTGATGAAAGACAGGGCTTTCTACTACTGTAAAGTTTCACAGTCTCAAAAACTCACGGGGCAGTTCTCCCTGTCATGTAGGGTTGATAAAGACAACATTAACTCAATAGCAGTGAATTTGGTTCGGTTGCTTTTATCAAACCAAATGCATAGACATTCTAGAGTTTGACTGGGTATAAAGTTAAAAGTCAGCCAGTCCTCAACTTCCACTGGTTCTCTTAATTTGCTGTTTACAAATTTGCCAATATTTTACATGAAAAACTTTCTTTCACTAAGTATGTAAAAAGTAAAACCATCATTAAAAATTATCTAAAGAGAATTCTACCTCAAGGATGGCCATTATAAGGATAACCATGAAGCCATTTCCTAGTAAAACAACCATAAATCACCAAAAAAGCAAACTCATTGTTAGTGAATTTGTTCCTACTCATCGTGACCCGTAGAGCAGGCGAGAGCTCGGCCTGTGAGTTTCTGGACCTGTAAATCTTTATGAGAGCAGACAGTCTCAACTCTCTCCCGTGGAGCCAATGGTAGGTTCAAACTGATGACCCCGAGGTTGTCAGACCAGTAGATAGACCACAGCTGCTGAAAATGATGCAGAAACAACCATTTAATGTCTCTGGAAATTGCCTTGGTGAAATACAACAGGAGGGAGGAAATATTTAGTCCAAATAATCTACTTATTTGGGGGTATAACAGCCAGAGTTTATGGCATTTGAGCCACAGCCCACTTCCTTTGCTCCCCGCCCCCCTCCCTATAGGCAAGCATGACAGTGCTCCACTCAGAACTTGTGCATCCAGGATCATACGGTACCCTCTCCACCTAGATCCGAGTAAGGGCTACAGTGTCTTCCCTGGGAGAAGCAGGCCGTTAGCATTTCTCATCCTTCCTACCTCCTTGCAAGAGCAGATGAGGGGTCTATGGTTCTCTTCCTTCACCCAGTCCCTGCTTTGGGAGCAGAAGCTCTACCCTAGGTGGTGTGCCAACCCTTGATGGTGACGTTCCTGCTCAGAGCAGCTCGTTCCCAGACATAGCTGCAGGGCTGGCCTCAGCTAGAGCTGTGACTGTCCTCTCCCCGGATGACAGCCTGCAGAGAACAGCCCTGAAGCTACAGTTTGGAGGGAGCAGCTGATCTGACCACCCACATGGGAACAAACCAAGAGGGAAGTGCAACAGACCAATGACGTGAGCAAAGCCACAAAGTCCCCAAAGAATCCCCATTGTAGACTTCTGACTTGGGGGCAGTACTTGGCACCCCATCTGAACGGGTTCAGGGTAACTCACAAGGGGCCACACTGAAAGTCTAAAGCCCTTTCAGACACAAATAATGAAGACTAAAAGGGTGTGTGTCTTGTTAGGTAAGCAGGATCCAGGATAGGTAACCCCCAAAGGGGACTGGACTGATGATTTATAATACGTCCTTCTCTCTATTTCACAGAAAGATACTCATCTGCTCTGTGTCGGGATTCCTGTTAGACTTGCGACTATCTGTATGCTTTTGTTGGTTGATTGATTGATTGATTGATTGATTGATTGATTGATTTGTATCTATACAAGAGAGGCAGAATAAACAATATTATGAAGAAAGCAACTGAACCCATGCATGTGCACATATCTCATGGGTTGCCCGAAAAGGACTCCTGGTTGACCTCCCTAGCGGCAGCAAGGAGAACAACAAAGTTCCCATTAGGTGCTGGTCTACCCACCTCTCAAGACCTGGGGGCGATCCCGGATGAGGCCAGTGGCGAGGGTGGGGGGTGATGTGACAGTTTCTGGGGGGCATGGGAGGGAAGGTGGGGAGAGGTGAGCCAATAATGGTGAGTACAGAACAATAGTAAGTGTTCCAAAATTTATAGTGAGGAGGGTGTAGCTTTCCTGGTAGTGCTTGATCAATCGAATTGTATCTTAGAGGAATTACTGAGGTGAACAAGGGGTAAACATGATAGTGGGGCAAGAGAAAAAAAAGAAAAAGGAGTAAATAAGAAAAAAAATATATATATATATATGTAAATGTCTAACTATATGTGTATTTGTTTATATATGTCTATATATACAAATGAAACAATGAAGCAGATAGATTTTGAGCCTCTACTTAAATCTTACCTCAACACAAGAACAGTTGGTTCTAATAATGTAGCATTGCATGATACTCATCTTCTTGACATGATTGCTGAAGACAAAATAGGTGCATCAGCAAATATGGTGAAGAAAGCTTATGGTTCCCAGCTATTAAAAGATACAGTGTCTAGGATCTTAAAGGCTTGAAGTTAAACAAGTGGCCATGTAGCATGCAAGCAACAAAGCCCACATGAAAGAAACACACAAACCTCTGTAATTATGAGGTGTCAACAGGAAAAAGTATCAGAAGATTAAAAACAAGCAACCAAACTGGTACGAAGGGATGTGGATGTAGTGGAGACAAAAACTCATCTGTAAGATAATAGGACAGTCCATCTCAGAAAGGCCACAGGTAAGGGATGATAAATCTAGGGTGCTGTATAGCACTGATAAACTACATAACCACCCTCTAGTTCTCTAATATTTCCTCCCCTTACTAGTATGGTTTCTATTTGTTTTAACTCATTAATTTGTTAGATTTGCATTTTTCATTTTTATATTTCATATTGTTTGGTACATGAAAGCCAAGATAGGTAACCCTTCAGAAACAGTAACCAGAGTAATGGTTCCTTGAGGGTATGGGAAAAGAGGGGAGAGGGAAGGCGGGAATAGGAAGCTGTTGGAGGACTGTATAATCCCACTCGGTGGGATTGAGCAACAGAATTGTATGTGAATGGATATATTGGATTGTGTAAGCTATGGCCAAAAAACCCGTCTATTATAGGGAAGAAAAAAAGTAAGTCTTGGGGAGTAGGAATGGGGGAGGGAGGGGATAAAAAGGAGCTGATATCAAGTTCAAGAAGAAAAAAAATATTTGGAAACTCATTGTGGTAGCAATTGCACTATACTGCTTGATATTATTGAACTATGGAATGTTATGATATCTGTAATAGCTCCCAATAAAATTGTATGTATGCATATAATTTTATATATAATCACTATATGTGTGTGTGTGTGTGTGTGTATGTATATGTATATCCTGATTACCTTACTTCAGCTCACTTAGACAGCAGAAGTTCTATAGAGGCAAGCCAAAAAGACCAGAAGCTACCACCCCTATTCAGTATTCTGCTCATAAAATAGGGTTAGAATTCAGGGGGAAACAAAGTGGAACATTTTCCTCATGCCCAACTCTGAAGCTATGGTACACAAGGTTTAGGCCACGGAGAGGGAGCTCCAAAACTATCCTCAAAGGGGAAGACTTTATTTGAAAGAAAGCATTGGAAAGTTCAAGCCTAAGAACACTGTAAAAAACTATTGGAAATGTTGGTGGTAAGCAAGTAAGGAGACTCATAGTTTTATCAGAGTAATAAGGTAAGCATTACTAGTTCCAATTGCCATTGAGTTGTCTCCAACTCATGGTGACTCCATATGCACAAAGTAGAGCTGTGCCCTGTAAAGCTTTCAGTGGTTGGTTTTTCAGAGGTTTATCACCAGACCTTTCTTCCAAGATTACTCTGGATG